TAGAGTGAGAGGAGGGGGGGGGGGGGGGAAAGGAACATTAAGGCTAAATTCCATTTTCTGCTTGCAACGATGAAAACCCCACCGTTGAGTAAGATGAAAAAAGTCACGCTTATAGCGCCTTATATGCAGCTTTTCAAATACATTTTCCAGTGAGGCTCGATGGAAAAAAAAAAGCAGCTGAAAGCAGAGGGAAATCACCAGTCGACACTAAAACAACCAGATCCAGAGCAACTGCGTCACCCCAAACAGCTGTTCCTGGCAGCGAGGGAGCGTAACCGCCTTGGCGAGCGGGGACGGGAGCTGCAGCAAGCAGAGTTAGAATGCATTTGCAGCTTTCTGAACTTAGAATTTTAAAGCTGGACCCAAAAGAGCTGATACGCAAGCAAGAGCCAACATCCAGTCAGCCTGGGGTCTGGCAGCGGCAAGGGACGGTTCAAAAGAGCAGGGCGAGATCAGAAAGGGCGCACTGAGATTGTCAGGAGCTGCACTGGGGGGGCCACACTACGCTGAAAGACAAAAAAAACAACTGTACTGGGCACCGGTGAGGCTGCACCTCAAACACTGTGTCCAGTTTTGGGCCCCTCACTACAAGAAGGACACTGAGGTGCTGGAGTGTGTCCAGAGAAGGGTGACGGAGCTGGGGAAGGGTCTGGAGCACAGGCCTTCTGAAGAGCAGCTGAGGGAGCTGGGGGTGTTCAGCCTGGAGAAGAGGAGGCTGAGGGGAGACCTGATCGCTCTCTACAACTACCTGACAGGAGGGTGCAGTGGGGGGGCGGGGGGCGTCGGTCTCTTCTCCCAAGGAAGAAGCGATAGGACAAGGGGAAATGGCCTCAAGTGAGGTTTAGAGTTGATATTAGGAGCAATTTCTTCACGGAAAGGGTTGTCGAGTATTGGAACAGGCTGCCCAGGGAAGCGGTGGAGTCCCCATCCCTGGATGTGTTTCAAAGATGTGTAGGTGCGGCACTTAGGGCCATGGTTTAGTGGTGGACTTGGCAATGCCAGGTTAACGGTCAGACCTGATGATCGTAAAGGTCTTTTCCAACCTAAATGGTTCTATGAATTAAGCAACTGCTGAAAGTGTCGGGCAGGATCTGCAGAACATTATAAACATCCACAATTCTATCAGAAAGCAGTACCGGCCAGGTCGTGTTAAGACAGGCTCTTTTTCAGACTCTTCCACGCTACCTGGAAATCCACAACCTAACTACAGCCTTTCTAGCTTAGGGATTTGAACAGAAGGGTTGATTTTTTTTGCTATGAGATCCTTATACTGGCCAGGAACACCGATCAAGTGCCATCTCCTCTCTCTCCCCCCAACTCCAGCCTTTGACTCATCATTAAAAAAGCTGAACGGCTCTCTACTGTTAATCTGAAAAAAAGGAAAAAAAAAAAAAAGATTTAGACATCCATAACCAACACAATTCTGAAAGAAAGGAAAAGACCAACCAAGTAGTGATATTTTGGATTTAAATTGGACTTCCAGCCAAACTTTTCAATCCCAAAATCATTCTCCTGAGCCAAGAGATGAACATTGATGCGTTCTTGTTCTCCAACAAGAAAATAATTTTCAGTTCCTCTTCTTACTGAGGAATCAGGATCAAGTCCTACCTGCTCCTTCACTCATGTCCTTCTACGGATTTTCCTTCAGTCCCCACATTCATCAATGCTTTCCCCTAACTATTTGGCATCCTCTCCGCGTTCAGCTGCGTACTCTAGAGTGAGGACTCAGCAGACATACCGCGGGCAAGACTGTTTGTAACAGGTCTTGCCTAGTTTCAGCAGTAAATGAAGGTAAACAGCAAGCATCTGCCAACAGCAAGAGGAGTCAGGAGGAGGCTTCACCCCGTCAGCTCATCCCATCGGAACGGGCGCAGAACGGAGCGGAGAGCAGGTCTCTGCTCTTTCCTAGCTCTTTACACCGCAGCTTGACAGGAATGCAACAAGGCAGCACTGTAAAGAGCCTGAAAGCACAAAGATACGGGAACGGCCGTGGAAGCGTCGGAGCCTGACCAAGAAATCAAGAGCAACTTGTAAAAACAACATGGGGAAGGTGCCCAGCCCCTAGGCCCCTCCGCCCCACCTTTCCTTCTCTCTCAGCAGTCCCCAGACCTGTACTTCCATCGCACACCCGCTGCTCTGCAAACCACAGGGGAGAAGCTGTTGAAATCTTGACCAAGCAGAGGGCCTAAAGAAATCAACAGCCAAACCCTAGTTCAGTCGCAGCACAACGATCCGGCTCAAACTACACAGACGAGCAAGGACAAAATTTACTGAAGAGTCCCAAATGAGTGGATTACAACTTCCTGAACATCCAAAAAGACGAGCATGAACACGCATCTGCAGAAGCGCATGCAGGGAAAGAACGATTCTGCACGACAACAGCATGCAAGCGATGCTTCAGACAACAACAACGAAACAGATTTCCCCTTAATACCTCATTAAGTGCACACATCCGTGCTATGGAGCCGATGTTGTTAGTGATGGTTATTAAAGTAGCCTTCGCGAGGTCCTCTTTGCTGACAGATTCCCGCTTCTCCTTGCTCATCATGTTTCCAAAGCTGGAAAAAGAGTTTTCGGGTTAAAGGTCCGTTTGCATCAGAATTCCAGGAGAAAATGGGAGCTGCTAATTTAACTAAAGCAATTCATCACCAAGTATTTCCTTCTTAACTTTAAAAAGCGTTGCTATCGGTAATTTAGATCCGGTAAAACAGAACAGCAGAAGGAATGGTAGCTCTCCTAAGAGATATAAATCCAGTTTTTCATCCCTGCAGAATCTCCCGTGAAAATAAAAATTGGTCAAGTCATTACCTGGACGCTACGGCCCAGCCTGGCAATCCCAATCGCTCGTAGTCTCCTCCGTAAATGTCCCGCACCAGTTTGTCCACTTTGGTACTGTCTCCATGGGACGCCATCTCTAGAGCCTCTTCAAAGGTGGAGCAACCGGTAAGAAGGCAGCAGAGACCAAAAAAGGTTCCCCCTCCGATGCTGCAACATAAAACAAAATGAAAGTCAGCCGGCCTTGCTTCTAAAGAGACAGAGAAAGAAAACGGCTCGTTCCATGCAAGCTCAGATTACCCAGCTACGCATCCGAGTTAGCACAGGGTGCCCCGTTCCTTCAGCTGCTTCTCTTTGCAGTGAGAGCAACCTTGGAAGAGCACCAGTTTTCCTTAAATGCATTACTTTCAAATAACTTACAGCCTGTAAGGAATCCCATGCCCTCACAGTCTTCTGCAGAGGGCGTGTTTCTAAATGAGAAATTTGTTTTCTTATTTACAATATCCAACTTCTTCCCAGCACTCGGAGAAAGTCAGTCTTAAAATAAAAATTAGTCCTGAGGGATAACTGGAGTATTAGGGCACAGCAATTCAAAACTTAGGGGGAAAAAACTACGTCCTGTTCACTTTACTGTGCGTGCATGCCAATAATGATGTACAGTAAGATCTGTACTGTGGGGTTGGTTTTTTTTAATTATTATTATTATTGCTAACTTTCAGGAAATCCAGGAAAGCTTACAGCCACAGAGCTCTTTGGCTTTGCCTGGCAACAAGAGCCACATCTTCAAGAAGGGCAGCTGCAGCAGTCCAGCAGCTGTCTGGGGAATTGGTGCCGAGCCAGCATCCCTTCCACCAAAACAAGGTAACGTTTGGAAGTCAGGATGCAAATCTCTACTGCTAGGATCAAAGCTAGCAGTTGTTAACATGACCATTAGGAGTCTATTTGGGATAATCCCAAACTATGGGATCTCTCTGATGGCAAATAAAATAGCTTAGAAGCTGTTTTTTTCAGTTGCCCTGCTGTAGGAATTGAAGAGACTGGGTGCAGTAAGGAAACCAAAACATGAAATTCAGATTTTCTCTTCCAGGAGGGATCTGTGTTGGCAGAGATGAGGGACTGCAACACAAGCAGGAGCTCGGTCATCCAGCTTGCCACCTTTCACGTAGCTTGTCCCCGACAACATCCTCTACAACGCAGACTCTAAAATAAAACTCAAAAGTAAATTTACCCCCTCACAGCGCTCACCTGGTGCCGTTACCCATTTATAGTTTTCTTTTGAATACACAGCCAAAATGCTGACCCCTGAGCCAATGTTCACCAAAAGGAGAGGATATGGATTCTCCAAGTTGAATGGGAGCTTCTGACATCTTTCGGCATCCATCGGGTTCTCAAAATAGTAGCACTCGGAATGTCCATTGAATCCAACTGAATCAATGTACAAAGCTCCTTTAATAAGGCAATCGAGTTCATCTGCCTTACACAGCTGAAGGTCACCCATCTGGCAGGGGGGAAAGAAAAAACAGAAAGAAGAATATTCAAGAAGTAGCTAGGGATCTGAAGTGTTTATGCTCAGGGCTAGAAAAATGCACTCCTTGCCAGCACCATTCAGCTCTCTCCGTTACTCCCTGCGGCGGCTGATAAAGAAGTTACAGATCGCAGGAGGGCTCCATCTTTCTCCACACACACGGATGGCTGACTGCCCCGGCCCCAACACGTGCAGTCATGGAAGAGGGGGGAAAAGAACAACGGGATCCGCAGATGGCTGCCAAGAGAATCCCCTCAACTTCCACGGGCCTGATTTAGGCCCTGACTCTGAGGCATTAGCGTGAAAAACAAATTCAAATGAGAAGGGACTTAACTGTTGGACCAAACCCCCCCCCAAAAACCCCAACCAACAAAGCACCCAGAAAACAGAGGAAATTATGAAACTGTTTTCCCCTCATGTCACTGCCTCGACTGCACAAAAAGCCTCTTTATGTGGTGCATTTTTTCAAGCCCTGGTTAAACACATTATTTATCACACAGGTTTTTCACCTATGAACAAGAATCAAACTTACGACAAAGCCACATGATGATGTCAAATCCCAGCTACTAACCTCCTTTCAGTTAATTTACCACCAAATCTGACCGAACCTCCATCAGCTCACTCACATGTGTGTTAGAAATGAAACCACACAAGCAAAGGAACAATAGAACAAATATTAAGCATGTGAAAGGCAGCAATGAGGAAGAAAAACCACAAGACTGAGATCAGCGTAATGAGAGCATAGTAACAGAGGAAGTCTTGTAAGAGCACAGGCCATGGAAGTTAGTGAATAATTGGAGAGTTGCAGGAATGTTACATGCACTTTCAGGAAAGAAAGCATCCTAATTTGGAGATGTGAACTCGATTCCGCATGCCGTTTCCTGAACTGAGTTTAATTTGAGTTAGGTACACTCTTCCAAAGCAAAGATTTAGAGAAGTTTTCGAGTCTGCAGAGAAAGTTTCTAGTTTTAAGCTTTAAAAAAAAAATATATATAAATTCACTACCAGATCCCAATTGTATAGAAGCCAAAAATGCATACTGTGCGAAAGTCCTGCTCAAATTTGTACGCTCCACCTCCTGTGGCACATAAGGTAGTATGGAGGCTTGAGAAGTGTTTTTCGCTTCCCATTTGAATAAAAGCAGGCATGTCATGAGTAGGAAAGCGTATAAAGTGCAGACTGCCTTTACGTCCACACAGGGTAAGGTCCTTTAGTTCAAGGTGCACATCCCGAATGCCTGTAGATCCATAGGCTACGTTTGACGTCAGATATTTGCGGATGCTTTTGAGATTTTCCACTTCCTCCTCCTCCTCTTCAGTGGTGATGTCCTTTAGTTCAAAATAAACAAGTTTGACCAAGGTCCCTCTGATATCCAAGCCAAACCAAGGAAAGACTAAAGGGGGGGGGGG